GATGATGCTGCGCTGATGGCAGTTCTCTCGGGATTAAGACCAAAAACAAGGTTCTGGTGGTCCGTACATGAGGACGGACCCCGAACTTACCACGAGCTCTTAGGACGCGCTGAGAAGTACATAAGCGCAGAAGAAGCGACATCAGATCAAGAAGATGCCAAATCAATACCGCGATCTCCACCCCGAGCTAAAGGAAAGCAGGCAGATAAAGACCCAGGTCGGGAGAAAAGAAGGGACAGGAGGGATCAAGGTCGCTCCGGGCCGTATCCCGACAAATTTCACGAATACCATCCTTTAAACGCAACTTTGGAGGAAGTCTTTTTGCAGGGAGGAGAAAAGGAAACCTTCCACCGACCTCCACCTTTGAAAAAAGAACCTGCTAGAAAATACCAAGGAAAATACTGCTGTTACCATAAAACCGCAGGACATGACACGGACAACTGCAGACAACTGAAAGAAGATGTGGAGTCTCTCATTAGACGAGGCCACCTACAGGAATTTGTGGCCAAACCCCGGGAATCTAATCCAGTCGGGGCTCAGCATCCTGACCCACAAAAGGTTGTCCCCCAAGGTCGGTTAGTACCTCAAGTGCACGATGCCCAACACCGAGCTGAAATTAAAATGTTAATAAGTGGAAATCAATGCCTAGTTAGCGGTGTCAACGAGCCGAGCCGGGCCTGGCCAAAAAAAATGAGGCTCGGCCCGAGCTTTTGGCCCGAGCCTTAGTGGGCAGAGCCGAGCCGGCTCGATTTTTTTGATTTTTTTTCTTTTCTTAGCTACCTTTGCAGGCAGCTAAAAATAGCTGCCTGCAAAGGCAGCTTGAGCTGCCTGCCTGCAGGCAGGCTGCCTGCCTTGCTAAGGCAGATGTGCTGCCTGCAGGCAGCTACAGCTGCCTTAGCAAGGCAGGCACAGCTGCCTGCAGGCAGCTGCAGCTGTGCTGCCTGCAAGGCAGCCTTCAAAAAAAATTTTGTTGTATGTGGATGATATGCAGGATTCATTTGGGATGTGTTTCAATTTTCAGTTTTAAATTTTGAGTTCAACTTCAGTTTTTTTTTTTTAAAGATTATTAAATGCGCTTTTAGTTTGTTATTTTGAAAAATTATTTTCTTAAAACAGAAAACTAGAAAATACGTTTCGTTCGAAATTTAAAAAATTATTTCATGACATTTTATTTCATGAAATTTGGTTATTCAGTAAAAAATAGAACAATTTTATCTTAATATATTATCACGTAATATATACATTTTAAAGTGGTG